ACCTTACACGAAATAGAGTGAATACATCTCATTACACTGATTTACTGGTAGTCTCGAAACCCTACTCACACTCGTCCAATATGTTCAATTAAGCTCATCAACCGAACCAGACATGTCAGATTATGCAACTTCAGTCTTGCCTTTCCTTGGGGGGTTAAACGGTAATGACCCTAGACTAAGAGGTTAGTAAAAGTAGTTTTGTAATTTGACTGACATGCTTACATGCTCATATTTCATTATCTCAACCATACTTGCTTACGGGCTTACCTAGTCTCGGTCAGGGCTTTCTGTTGGGTCAGTAGGCCTTGATGATCAGAGCCTGACATTAGCCTTTTGATAACTCTGATTTATGACGTGTATTGCGTATAGACGCTAACATACACATATACACACGCACACAATCGAGCAAAAGTAACAGAACCAGTATGAAAGATAATTAACTAAACCACTCTACTATCTATCTATCTATCTATCTATCTATCTATCTATCTATCTATCTATCTATCTATCTATCTATCTATCTATCTAGGTTTTTAGTTTGATTTTGGTTCAATTTGGTTTAAATAAAATTTAAGATACAGCCGGATAGTTTTCCTGCCCTAGTTTAACGTGAAGCTTTTACAAGAATGACACCCGGCTCTGATGATGTCCATCCTATGATGGTGGAAGGCTCAGCCCGTTTTCACCCGAAGTCTCGTGAACTGCGTCAACCTGAACATCGTATAAAAGCCAAACGGCCAAACGAATCTCTTCTTTATGCATTTTTATTTGAAATTAAATTCCCCCAAACAAACAACTTCTATACAACGAAAAGAGACTGTGACTACGCAAGAGACCGCAACATCTTGGTCTTCATACCTATCGTAAATTTTACTTTTAAAATCTAGACGTTTCATCAATCTACATAAAATGACTTCTGGCTTCAATACATGTGATTACTAGATGAATAGTAATGCACTTTACTCACAACCATTTTAATTATCTAACTACTGTGCGCTAGATTTTTTGTATTTATAGCATTTTTTTATTTTGTAATCCGACTTAATACAATAGCGCCATATTGGCTGATTTTTAATCGCTCTACAGGTTTCCGATGTGGTCGTTGAGCCTTACAACGCCACTTTGTCGGCGAACCAATTAGTTGAAAACTGCGATGAGACCTTCTGCATCGACAACGAGGCCCTCTATGACATCTGCAATAGGACGCTTAAGCTATTAACTCCCACCTATGGCGACCTTAACCATTTGGTTAGTGCCACCATGTCCGGCGTTACCACCTGCCTTCGCTTTCCAGGACAACTGAACGCCGATCTTCGCAAGCTGGCTACCAACATGGTTCCTTTTCCTCGGCTCCACTTTTTTATGCCTGGCTTTTCTCCACTCACAAGTCGTCACTCACAACCATATCGCAGCTATTCTGTACAGGATCTTACGCAACAAATGTTTGACTCAAAGAACATGATGGCGGCCTGTGATCCCCGACATGGCAAATATCTTACGGTAGCCGCTATGTTTCGAGGCAGGATGTCGATGAAGGAGGTTGACGAGCAGATGTTACATGTGCAGAACAAGAATAGTGCCTACTTCGTCGAATGGATACCAAACAATGTTAAAACTGCGGTTTGTGATGTTCCTCCACGTGGCTTAAAAATGTCGGTCACTTTCATAGGAAATAACACCGCTATCCAAGAAATCTTTAAGCGAGTTGGCGAGCAGTTTGCAGCCATGTTTCGCAGACGAGCATTTCTGCACTGGTATACAGGTGAGGGAATGGATGAAATGGAGTTCTCTGAGGCAGAAGCAAATATGAACGACTTGATCAGCGAATACCAGCAGTTTCAGGATGCTACTGTGGAGGACGAAGTTCAGATTGAGTAAATCTAACTCGACTAAATCTACTGAGATATTTGAAAACTTGCAGCATGGAAGCAAAGCTGGAGATTAATTTTATGATGTTCCTACTATTTGGAAGTTCTTTGATAAGGATGGGCTAAATGCTACCTTAAAATATAACGTTTTTGCTATTGCTTTACTTTGCATTATATTATATCAGCCCTATTTGAATAGGCCATTACTTGCTTCCAAAAAGTTTCAGAAGATATTTTCTTTTGAACTTTCATTTCAAAAATAATTATATTTGCTTATAATTCAAACAGCCTTGCTTTTGAATGCATGTGTATGTATAGTGAATAATATGATTGGATAGGTACATCGTCATTAAATAGTTATCTTCGTCAAAGGGGCAAGAGCCATGTGCTTTAAGTGCTTTGTTAGCTGCAGACCAGAAAAAATATATACCCTTTCAACTCCTGAATAAGCCTAAAAAATCATTAGCAATAATGGAAAAAGATAAATCACGTAAGCTTGGTTGAGCCACTCGATTTCTTCTCTCATTCAAGTGATACAATGAGTTCAATAGCAGATCCAGATCTTGAGCGTCTTTGCTAGTGTCACTTGCGCTTTGGAGACTGTCAAAACTCTTATTCTTATTTGGCTAGTTTTATTTAATGCAAATTCTGAGTCGGGTACTTTAAATAATTTCCACGTGGCGTTTTATAAATTCTGAATGAGAAGGCTTAAGTTAATTGCAAGAATAATGTGAAGCTGATGTCAAGTCCACGTAAAGTTTGTAATAAAAAAATTCTAAGATTAATTGAAGGTATGAAGGCCAAGATGGTGTGGCCTTTTATGTGGTCGCAGTCTCTTTTCGTGGTATAGAATTTGTTTACCTTGTTTTCGCAACTTGGTCATATTGGTATGAAGACTTAGAGGAACGCACCTAATCTGAAGTCCATTGAGTGCATGAGAATTTCCAGAATCGAACCGTGAACGTGGTACATTCCTAGGCGTTCTAACGGCGTCGTCAGTGAGCATTATCAGTCTTAGCACCACACTACAACTCGTCAGAGACAAGTGGAGCCGATCCTTTGGCCAATTGTCTGCTAAACTATCGTGGTATCACTCCTTTCCTCCTGGGCTAATCAAAAATACTATATCATCGTATCACAATTTTTACCTGCTTATTTAAAAGTGGTATAGTGTGCCCTTTAAAGCGGCTCTAATGAGAACTCTCCATGCTCCAAGCTGGCTTTCTCACCTCCGTTCACCCTTGTGCTGGGAATGTTAATAAGTCGGCCCTATTGCTACGCAGTCCTTCTCTAGGTCTTATCACAGTCTCCCTCTTGCCCCGTAGTATCCGTCTCCTGTCTCCATGGTTCATGTATTTCACTCGACCCCTGCCACCTGATTTGTGCTTCTTGAGGCGTTATTTCCCACCCTCTGCGTCTGAGTGACTAATTCTAAATCTAAAGCCTCTGAGTAAGTCTCATCGTCAAGCCTTTGTAACGTGGAACACGCCTCTGGTTAAACCTACTGTCAGCCAACTATCTCCAGTCTCCGCTGCGTCTATTCTATTTCTATCCGTAATACCAAATCTATGACTTCCTATGCCATAGTCTTTTGTGTTTCAACTCACAAAAGTTGTGGTTCAACATTAAACCTAATCAAAGCAAGCAATACCACAACATTTACGAGTTGGCACACAGGAGACTAGGGCATAGGAAGTTATAGACTTGGTATTACGGATAGAAACAGTATAGACGCAGGAGACTGGAGCTAGTTTGCTGACAGTAGGTTTTTCTAAGAAAGCTATCATCAGAAAAGGAAGAGGTTTTCACCCGAAACGAGGGAGCAAGTCTCGTGGAGTGCGTCAACATGAATATCGTATAAAGGCCAAACGGCTGCAGTACAATGAGATTCATCCGTCATCTAGTGAGATCGACCAACGAATCTCTTCTTTATGCACTTTCGTCCGAATTGAAGGTCCCCCTAACAATGTTATCTCAGGAGATTCATCGAAACCAAGTTTTTCTTCGTCTCTACAGCTTAAAAAAGGTATTTAAAAAAGTGGTTTGTCTTGTTCACACAACTTGGTCGTATTGCCAGGCAGACCTAGAGGAACGCACCATGTCCAGAGTCCATAATATTCATGATAATATCCTGC